ATGCATTGCACCGGCTGCCTTTTTATGCTCACGCTGTGATCAGCGGCAGCTGGATGCAATAATTGCATGCCAATGTGCATTGGCTCGTTTAGTTACACTCTAAGTAGATTGGTCTCTCGAAGCGAGATCCCAATTCGTCGGTCACCGACGTGACTCGGAGTGACCGACTGAAAGGGAAGTACATTTACTTGAGTACTTTACTTAATTACACTTTTTGAGTATCTGTACTTTACTTGAGTATAATTTTTTCTGGAAACTTATGACTTTAAATTCACTCCTCTATGTAGCAGCTTTGAAAATCAGTGGGTGATTTTTTCTTCTCTAAAACGTGACTTTTTTCCCCTTCTATTTAGACAGTCTATCAGTAATCACTCTTGTAGGGATGTGTGAAGTGATTTCCCAGCATTTTTTAACACTGACCAGTTGCAAATGTGATATTTATTTACAACAATTTAATAAGAAGTTAATATTGTGGTATATATTAGACACGATATTGTCTGATTTTGCAAAATTGTGCAAACGAAAATATTACCTATAAAGCCACAGAAGAACTGTTGTGTTTCTCCTAACAAAGCACAATAGGCATTTGACTTGAAGCAGCACTGCACAGACATCAAAGTACCGCGAGAGCATTTTTTATCTTTATTTTCACTCAAGTAATGGAGTTGTGTACTTTGTCCACCTCTGGTCAAAACACAAAAACCGATGCCAGGATAAAAATCTTTCTCTGTGCTCTTGAAAATAATCTTATCAGGTAAAGATCAGATAATCCTGGACTGTCTGAAGTTTCAATCAGTGGTGTAAAAAAAAGAGAGAGAAGACTTTCAAGAGTGGCAGGTCAATCAGCCCAATCTTTCTGTCTCATAAAGTACAAGATCTCTGAAACAGAGGCACCCTAAAAACATTCTCTTTCAAAGTCAACTTGAACTCCAAAGTAGACTAAATCAGTGGGGAACATGATCAAATGTGCTCAAAAGGGCGAAACAAGTTAAGAGTGGCAATCAAAAGTGCTGGACTGCAACAAAAACGAGACATGATGACCAGCCTTCAGGAAAGAGATGAGGAACATTTATAGGGTATAAAAAGTTAGTCGGATGTGCGTGTGGAATAAAATGGTGACCAGATGGGTTTAGAATACCTGCAGGGTAGGGACATGCATGACCCTAGTAAAAGGGGACTCAAACATCATGGAAATACAAGAGCAGATGGTGACCACGATCATCACCCAGTCCAGATAGGTTACCAAGCCCAGCAAATCACTGGAGAACACACACAGACACATACACATGCAAGGTTTAGTGCAGGTTAAATGTGCTACTCTTTTTCTACTCTGCATTCTTGCTACTTTTCAGCCTGAGCTTACATAACTTTGTCTTAACTTTGCAGATCGTTTGAAACTGGTGAAATCCTGCTAGGACATTGCAGCCCAAAAGTTTTCATCTATTCCCACACTAACCCACCCTGGCATGTCTGACAGATCAAAACTTTCCAAAGCCCATTCTCATATTACATTTCTAGAATCAAAATAGGCATATAAATGAGGGAATCTCAAGAAAACATGTGCAAGTCACATTTTAACCCCAAAAATAAAAAAAGAAATACCATTAATTTCATGACAATTAAGCACATTTCCCCCCAAAATTCTTCATTTTTTGCACTTTTTTTTATCTTCCACTATTTCTACAATTAATGTACCCATATTTTACAATTTAAATAATATATTATGATTTATTTTATATTACATATATTTTAAATGATGATTTATTGCAAAAGAAAGATTTAGGTGTACGTTGCAATAATTTTTTTTTTATATTGAATTGTGTATATTACCAGGCTATCACGGTGCAAAGACCCTAAACATTTATGGACTTACTATAATTGATGGTATTTTGTGCTGTTCACTGCGCCTGTATTGGGATCCGTTTTTGACCTATTCATAAAAAGCCCATTAATATAATGTCAGCAAAGAAATGTAACACACATACACACACACAACAGTTTGTGAAACAACATGGCATTTTTTCAGTGATTATGGCACAAAGGGATTAGTCATCTCATTGATGCGTATGAAAATGCTATTGCAACTAATAATATACTGCAGTGGATTTGTATTTGCTTAGGTCTTACGCATTGAAACGGGCCCGCACAATCATTCGGCAAAAGTTTCGGAAGCGATGCTCTCTACCAACGATGAAGAGTGGCTTGTCAAAGTACGGATGGTTTTCCCGGAGTTCCTCCTCTTGGACTTTTCTGGAAAAAAACAAGACAAAAACATTATAGGCATAACAATAAATCATTTTGAAATCTCATCTTCGGTAAACACTGCTTTTATTAGTCCGGCTTTGGGATAAAGTATTGACACAGAAAGATCTTGGATGCACAGAAGGGACCTTATTAGTTTTTGTAGCGTACTGTTTCTGTAAATCAGCTCAAATGTGATCTGATCTCTCTTTTACAGTCCTTCCTTGGCCTCTTAACATGACAAATAAATACAGCCAACCTAAAACAAAGACTTTGCTTCCCTGCAATATGTCTTGTTGTCATATACCGATGGCATTATGCCACCATCAGCATACAGTACAAGAGAAAGATATGGTGTAATAACTCCCACATGGCATGTTTTGTTTGGGGAGGGGGATAAGATCTGTTCAACTGACCGCATGCCAAGGAGAGTGTATGGAGTGGCAGAAATACCGTTTCATCTCAGCCTGCTCCTTTTTCTCTTGTATCATCTTGATTTCACTGTCCTCCCGCTGGGCGTTACGGTAGCGGACCGTGCTGGAGTGCTGAAGAGTTCACACACATGTCAGAGATCACAGATCGTCACAGATAGCGCTGTCAGCTATTGAGTGTGTGTGTGTGTGTGTGTATACGCACATCTTGAGTGAGTGTTTCCAGGGATTTCCCTCTGCTGATTCTCTGGCTGGTAGAGCCGTGTCTGAGGGACCTGTGCCAGAAAGAGCAGGTTAACACACTAGCATAATGTAGTGCACATTATGACTTTGCATCCATCCAATGCTCCTTAAATAAATTAAATAGATGAGTATGTGAAAGCATGTCAATGTGCTTTCCTAACCGGCGTTCTTGGCGGATGTGATGCTGGACACTGAGTATGGATCTCTCTTTAGTTGGCTGACCCTCAAAAGAGCCACTCAGCATACGTTGTCTAGTGCAGGCTCTGAAAAAATTCACACAGACAAACCATAACTAGGTCAAGAGCAAATTAATAAAATACAAAACAAACACAGTGTGGTATTCTTTTTTTTTTTTTATGCATCAATGATAATGTTTTTACTGTTTGCAACTTCAGGGATCTTATCTATGCACAATCAGCTTGTAACACTCGAGAAAGGAAAACTTGAAATCGCATCATATGACCCCTTTAAGCCAACATTAAATCAAAACTGTCTTCTAATTTAATTTCTTAGTCTTACTAAGCATGATTTATTTAAGTGGGTCATTCATCAAAATCTAATAACTATTTCCTTTTTGAAGTCCCATCCTAAATTATTTCCACTGACTATTTTGTTTCACTCAGAAATAATTCACACTACAAAAGCTAAATGGCTTTTAATTTTTGTGGGGTACTACAAATGCAAACAAGTTTTACTAGACATACTGTAAATGTATAGGATTGTGTGATGATCATCAATGAACAGCCCTTAAGCTACGCCACTACTGTCTGTCATGTACGCTGTTGTACATCAGACACAGCAGATGGTTTTATTAGCTAACACTGTGTTGTGCAGGTGGAAACAGTTCTAAGGAACGGGGCACCCATGGAGAGGAAACTAATTAATCCTTTTTTTTTTTAGAGTGGTCAAATGTGACCTGTGGTGCACTAAAAATTCATGCTAACAGTGAAGTGAAGATGAAGCAATAGGAGGGAATTAATCTCCAAGGAAAAATTTGGCATACTTAGTCTAGATATATGAGGTTACATATCTACTAGGCCCCAGTTCCACTTATTACAAAAATGACAAAACTTAGATGATGATGATCAGTTGACTCCATTTACTCCAAAGTAACTTTCAGTATGCATGTGGGACATTCTCAGCAAGCGACCCCATTTGAGTTTTCCCATGCGCTAATACTGATTTAACAGCATTCTTAATTTAGAGACAACATCTGGTTGATTTAACTCTTTAAATTTAAATTTTAATCACGCTATAAAGGTTAATGTTCAGTACAAATAATTAACTGAATTAAATCAACCATAATTTTATCTTTAAACGCAATTGATTGGAATATCAAATTTCTCCTCACTCGTTACATTACATTTCAGTTTCATGGAATATATGTCGTCATGTACCAGAACACAGCTAATGACAATTTCAGCTTCAAGAGAACATGTCGCCCTTATTTATGGCCACTCAGAGTGATGAGTGCCTGGCTGATGAAGGATGTGTGTTTGCGCATGTGTGTATGCAGACAGACTGTATGCCCCAGACGGCACAGACGACGTGGGATGGCTACTGATGTGCAGTCTCTCTGCTTAGCAGTAGGAGGAGGGGTGGACAAGGTGAGGTGTACGAGTGTGTGTGTGTGTGTGTGTGTAACACGAGGGAGGTGGGGACAGCATCGACGTGATCTGAAACTTAACGACAGAGACGAGAGCAGTTGAAGCAAAGTGTGGGAATATGTGGCTGCATCGCTGCCAGATTTTTAAATATTAATTTGTTCATTCATGCTCACAGGTGACCCACTAACAGTTATATTGATATGGAGACGCCATTATCTGCTCTGAATGCTGGGCTGGCTGGATGACAAACATGGAGTCGAAATCATGGAAATGGAGGATCGAAATCAAAACATATTCACTCTGTATAGGAATTAATGTGTTTTTGCCCAAGGCTGCCAGAGAACAAAGCAATGCTCTATAATTATTCCTACTGGCCCATCACATATCTATATTATGAATAAATATCTTAATACAAACTCATTGTAACATTTCAGGTTGATGGAAAAATCACTGGGTCTCATTCAATAATTCTGTTATCTGAATATAAAAATTGCAAAAATCATGACTAATATTGTAAATATATTTGCACGTATTAAAAGTTGATTAGTATTGACTTTGTAAATGACTATATGATAATGAATTTGTAGCCTTGCTAAAAAATATCAATCTCAGTCACTGAATTATTATTTTTATTTTTGTAATATAATATTAAATTAAATTAATCTTATATACAATAAGTTGACTAAAAGATCTGAAATTGCTGGGAGAAAATCACAAGCTCACCGCAGAATTTTATTGACAGTGGTTTCCTTTTCCATGAGGTTACGGGCCCGGATGCTAAATACTGACTTTCGGAGCTAGGAAGAAAAAGCGGTTTAGACAGTAAGATGCACACAGGAGACACGGATCAATACACAGTACAATTCAGACGGATATATTCGCAAACAACTATTATTATATGGGTAAAGCTGAATTTGATATCAGCAAACAAAAACATCCCAACGTAATCAACAAAATATAGTTATATAACTGCTGGTTATTTAAGTCTTGTTGCGTGGGAAACAGATCTGTTCCTTTCAGAACATTCATGAGCGTATTATTTAGTCCCTGTGTGTACTGAGGGGGCAGACTGTGGGAGTGATGGAGTGTGGTACCTTCTGATCTATGTATTTATTATCCTCAATGGCAGACCTCTTGGAATGGTCGCAGGATGAGGACGATGCTGAGGGAAGGCGACGGAACAGACAGCTGGGGTCCTGCTGCTGTCGGTCGATGAACTGCTTCATGAAGCTCTCCCTGTGACACACGCCCACGGCACATGCATAACCAAACAGTCACATGCAAACACACAAGGGACTTCACGTTTTCAGAGGATTCTTGAGGATGAAGTAGGAGGCATTCAGTGTAAAGGAATAAGTATGTTTGCCAATATGCTTGCTGCATTTCGGAGAATGAATCTGTCATGTGTTAGAGTCAAATGTGAATCCACATTTTAAATTGTTTTAATTCTAGAATAAATTAGATGTTTACGTTTTCTGACTGATCTGACTGACACTTTCCCATGCAAAACTGGCCGCCACAATTCTAAGGTGTTGTCAAGGCATCCTAAGAAGGCTTTTAGCATGTAGCCACAGAAGGTTGTTGCTACATGGCTGCTAAGGTGTTTAGAGTTGTTGCTAGGGTGATCTGGATGGTGGATAGATGGTTGTTAAAGTGTTCAACATGGTTGCTAGATGGATGCTAAGGTTTCAGCATGGCTGATAGATGGCCCAATGATACTCTGGCTCATATATATGGATTGGAAGCGTCCTTTAATGTAAGTTTTTTTTTTAATTTTTTTTTTTTTACATCAAATGAGAATTCCATCTCTTCAACAATTCAAAAGATATGAGATATTATTCAGCGGAAACGGTACCTGATTCTGGGCACAGTGAAGTCTGATGGCAGTTTGGAGATTTTCACCATCTGTGGTCGATTGGGGAACTTCTCAAAGATCCGTAATCGCAAAGGAAGTTTCTCTTTTGTATCAGCATTGGCTTCGCTCTGTTTCAGCTGTGGACAGAAGCCAGAAGACTCATTTGAAACAAACGTCTCGTTCTGTGACTCAACAGAGAGACTCCGATGGGGCCACATTGTGTTTTCACACATAGCCTTCAAAAAATGTTGGTGGACAGTCCAAAATTTACATAAGTTGTCTATCTCTACTTCTGGTTGCCCCTTTTGAAAACTCAGCTGGTCTTCAAGTAGAATGTAAAGATGGTGTATTTTATAATCAGTTCCTCACTTCTGGTGTTGAGAGAGGAAGGGGTTAGCCTGTATGGTGCACTGCTATGAATTAATGTGTCCCTTTGAGGCTTAACTGACTTTATGTGCCATAACCTTTTATCTTTCTCCATGTCTTATCAAGCCACATAAAGGCCTCAGATGATTAGGCCGGAACACACTAGAGGATCACTTCTCATTCTCCTGTCAGAAGAGATGCATAAATTAAAGTGAATAAGATAAAACTAAGATGACAGATTGTTTCATATTTTCTAAACATACCTATGAATGCATATTAAAAGAAATCCACTGAATGCCCTACTGATTAAAAAACATGTAACTACAGTTTAATTAATACTAAAACAATAACATTAATTCTAACCAATTAAAACGTTAAACATGATTTAATTTTCTCTCCTTTTTATTTATTTATGTATTTTTTTTAGAGAACAAGATGTTCGCTTGGCAGCATTTAAAAGCAAAATGTTATGTTGAGAGAGTGCTGTTCTGCTAGGCTGTCCAGAGATGGCAGCAGCGCACAGTCTCAATGCAGTTATCCATCCATTACAACACTGGTTGTCAATTAGTTTTGCTTCAGGACCCAGATTTTACATTGACATCAAATGGAAACCCAACACAGCACCTAAATGTTTATCATGCTAAAAAAAAAAAACTAAAAAAATCTATAAAAAAATATTTATTTACATTTAGTCATTTAGCAGACACTTTTATCCAAAGCAACTTACAAATGAGGACAACAGAAGCAATCAAAACCAACAAAAGGGCAATAATATGAAAGTGCTGTGGCAAGTCTCGGTTAGCCTAACATAGTACACGTAGCAAGGTTTTTTTTTTGTAATAAATAAAAAGAAAAACAAGTAGATAGCATAGAAAAGAAAAAAAAAAAAGGGAACGCTAGTGTTAGAGGGTCTTATATATATATATATATATATATAGTAAATTGTGTAGTTTTGTTCATGCTATATATGTTGGCATCTTTCTAATTTGTCTAGCTTCTACCTAGTGTCATAAATTTTGGTAAAAATACCATAGATAGATAGTTAGAACAGAGATAACAATAAAAAACATGGTAAGTGTTTTTATAAGCCTATTTATATTGCTATCCTACTAGGCATGATTATATGGTTAGTTGTATTTTATTTTCTCACAAACAATTATTGGTTTGCTATATACCACTGCTGCAATACAATATAATTCAACACACTGCCTATTAAGGAAGCAAAACCAAAACTGAAATGTGTATTCAGAAATAACTTTCTGTCCTCATCCACGCAAACAGGCTAAAAATTGGTCAAACAAACAGAAACGTCATAAATATCAGAGAGCAATTAATTTAATTACATCTGAAAAAAAAAACCACATTGGAATTCTTTGGCCTGAAGTGTCCATCTGGTTGCTGTAGATAAATATGATGCATTTCTGATTAGGAGTGAGAAATGCCAAAATTAGGTTCTCTGATGATAGCTTACCATTAGAAATAAGAGGCTGACCTGGACCCTTCAGGAAATGATTTGGCAAGAGTAACCAAGTGGAACCATCAAAAATAGAAATGCAAATAATGTCATTGCATCATATTATTGTATTATTACTCATTATTATTTTTTTTCATTCATCACTTGAATTGGCCATACATTCAGACATCTGTAGTGCATCACATGCTGTTCTTTCAGAGTTACAGACAGCAGGTCATGTTCTGTGCTGGAAGTGAAGCACTACTGGAGAGAGGTTGTGCTAATGTTGCTGAGAGCCTGCCTGCAGTAAGGACAATGCTGTTGGACACTTGAGCCAAGAGAAAATGTGCTCAACATGCGTCTTGATGATTTCAATGAATTGAAATCAAATGTATGAGTAAAAACCGACTAAAACCAAACGTGACATGCCAGTATAGGAATAATAGCTTTACCACTACCAACATGCTGGATTCTGCAATATAACCAAAAGTGCATAAAATCAGTCTGGACCAATGCTTGTGGCCATTGTGAAAAGGTCCACAGGAATCCATTGTTTATATACCACAAACATTCTCAACATATAGTCACAATAGTACTTAAGTGACAAAGAATACATAGGGAAATCGACCATTTGCTGTGCTTTCATATTCTTGGCTGCTTGCTGGAAAACATAAAAGCCGGTTTAGTCTGCACTCAGGCAAAGTTTAATTTTCCTGTCTCCCATTCAAAAAATAGTCTACATTTGTTTTAGGGCATCTTTATTGTAAAAGGGGGTGTGTTTGAAACCTTACAGGTCCCCAAGGTTCCAATCAATAGCTCTGCACTCTGCGGGGTGTCTTCAACGCTGCGCTTTACTCGGCAACAGCCTCTGATTAGCTCTCACACAGAGGAACACATGACACGGAGCACTGCAGAGAGAACAGGCACTCCTAACTAATACCAACACAATTTACATCTGTCTAGTATAGAACTAATGTAAAGAATCCTCCCTGCTTTGCAATGCCAGCCCCCCTTGTTTATTCCAATCTGGTAGCTAAAACAAGTGTTTGCATAATTAATCACAAATTATTCAAAGTCTGAAGACATTTTAGGTTACTGATATTTTAAAGCAAATGTTCACCCAAAATAAAGATCAAAAGAGATCAAAGAGTTTCATCATTTACTGACCCTCATGTTGTTCCAAACCTGTACGACTTTTACCAAGGGTGTTTGATATCATTTAGAAAAGAATACATAACAACTTAAGTTGCACTAGTGCTTAACAAGTGTTAAATAAAACTAAAATGTTAATTGGGGAAAAAAAGCTAAAATAAAAAGTAAAATATACCATTCGATGAAATAAGATTAATAAATAAGATAACTTAAGTAAAATTTAGTTCAGTTTAGGCTGCCGTGCCAAAATGACTAAAACTGAAATAAAAATAGAGTTAAATAGAAATATATATAAAAAAACTAAAAATATAAAAATAAAAGCTAATTCAAAACATTAACAAATATTATATAGTATATAAATAATACAAAAATAATACTTCCCTGGTCATTGTAAGCTTTTGCATGGAAAGATCAGTGAGACTATTTTCAAAATATCTCATTTGTGTTCCACAGAAAAAAAGAAAGCCATACTGGCTTGAATCGATGTGAGGGTGAGTAAGGCTGCCGTGCCAAAATGACTAAAACTGAAATAAAAATAGAGTTAAATAGAAATATATATAAAAAAACTAAAAATATAAAAATAAAAGCTAATTCAAAACATTAACAAATATTATATAGTATATAAATAATACAAAAATAATACTTCCCTGGTCATTGTAAGCTTTTGCATGGAAAGATTAGTGAGACTATTTTTCAAAATATCTCATTTGTGTTCCACAGAAAAAAAGAAAGCCATACTGGCTTTAATCGATGTGAGGGTGAGTAAATGATGACAGAATTTTCATTTTCATTTTCGAGATAAGTACATGTGATGGAGTGCTGAAGAGGAAGGGAAAGCCAAATTCAATCAGCACGGCTAGAAAGTGAAATCCACCCTGATCAATAAACAAATCAATATGAAATAGGTGAAAAGATATGGGTCACATACATTGCATACAGTGCAACACATCATGCTGATTTGCATATTTACATGACTGCCTGTAGCTAGCTGCAGTTTTTTTTCCCCTGATGACTTGTGGTTATGGATTTTTTTATTTTTTTTTAAGGAAAGCCAAATTCAATCAGCACGGCTAGAAAGTGAAATCCACCCTGATCAATAAACAAATCAATATGAAATAGGTGAAAAGATATGGGTCACATACATTGCATACAGTGCAACACATCATGCTGATTTGCATATTTACATGACTGCCTGTAGCTAGCTGCAGTTTTTTTTCCCCTGATGGCTTGTGGTTATGGATTTTTTTATTTTTTTTTTTTATTTATAAATCTTTATAAATATGTAGCATTTTCCATAACAGAGGTGGGAGCCGTGCATCCGAAATGAATGTGTTGGCCTTGGGACACATTAGGGTGATCCATTCACTCCTATTCACACATTCTTCCAATTTCAGGCTCAGGTGAACCATACCAAGTTATTCTCCAAGTCCCCCACCTTTCAAGAAGACAAGGGTCCGGGTTATTGACCAATAGCTGCATGGTCTGTGACACATTCACAAAGGAGCCCATAATAGTGAGCTGTGCTCCCAGCATCATGAATGATTGGTCGGTCTACAAATCTGTATGTCACTGTCCCACAAATGTACTCTATAGGCCATTAGACACAATTATGCTACAGTTAGGTCACCATAAAACAGTGGAGAGCTAATGTAAACACAGGTAATAATGTCTAACGGTGTGTGTGTGTGTGAGTGTGACCTTCAGAGACGGCATCGGCAGACATAATAACATATCAGTTTTAAAAGGACCAGAATATTTGACGTCAGCCTCAAAAGTCTACATCATTTATTCATTCTCATGTCCTTTCAAACTCTTATGACATTCTTTCTTCTGTGGAACACAAAAGAAAATATATATATATACAATGAAAGTCAGTGGGGCCCAAAACAACACTGGACCCCATTGACATTTATTATATATTATATTATATGGAATGACATGAAGATGAGCAAATGGTCTAGTGCAGGACGACTGCACTATATATGTAAACATCTACGTATGGGTCTATGTGTACATGCACATGCAATGCATCATGTGCCATTTAGTTCTGCATTTTTTAGACCGTGTTAAGTTAAAAGAAAATAAACTTTTAAAAATGCATTGGAGACCCCTGCTCCAGACCATTAGAGTGCATTCTGTGTGAATTACCCATTAGTAGAACATTCC